GACTAACCCTGTATATCATTCAAACCATCTTAGCATGACAAACCAGAATATATATGGTTTAGGGGTGGGGATCTCAACCAATTAAAAGATATTAGAAATTTCTTAAATGGCAGGGGGTGGGGGTGACCCCTGGGGACTAACCCTGTATTTCATTTAATATGCTTTATCATTTAGAACATTTTCAATTAAAAAGATTGTGTATATCACAAACGGTTTTCAGTTTATAATCATTTGAAAATTTAAAAAAATTAAATCCCATAGGGTTCTATAGTAAAACCCTTCTTTCTTTTTGCCCCTCAAAGTACCCCTTTATAATCCCCGATGCACAAACAAAACCCTGATTGCACCACTAGACATGTTAGTCTAACATATTGTGAAACCCTAAGTTAATCTGACAAGCGGTTTTGGAGAACGGGTGCGGACAAGTTCAAATTTAAAAGCGGCGGAAGAGGAAGAAGAAGAAGAAGAAGAAGAAGAAGAATAATAATAATAATAATAACTGAGCAAAACCAATAAGTCTTCCCAAACTTCATTTGGGAGACTTAATTACCAATTCAGGGGCAGCAACCCAACAACATATTGTCTGATTGGTCTGAAAATTTCAGGGCAGATAGATCTTGACCATGGCTTCCAAAACGGTCATATATTCCGAACTTGACCGAAATTCATATAAAAAGTCTGGCTGCTCTCAGCCTCAAACGGTCAAATATCATAGGTTTGCCACTTTTGTTATTCAAGGCATTTTCATAGAACGGTCATTTCACTTTTTTACAAACTATCGATCGGTAAAAATGTCCGTTTGGGCATTATAGTTTATAATTGTGGCAATCTATTTCACAAAGATATTTCGGTCATATTTGGGTTTAATTAAACAGATGCAGCATATTTCATACTTTGAAGTGTCTCAGTTAGTCTAATCATCTGGGTACACAAATGCACGGCTTGGTACATCAATAAAAAGTAGAAAAAAAAAACATTTGTTCTTTTATTTAAAAAACATCAAGCTGTCAAACAATTATCCCTTCAATAAGTAATATTGAAGCCATAAATCATTCACTGATTACAGGTCATTACCTTTGATGAGAGACCTTAGCTTGTCTTAATCAATAGAATTGATGATGCATAACAATGAACATAAACAGGTGATAAAGGTGATCAGGTAAACGAGGTCAAACATAAAAGCGTGTATGGAACAACATCCTATTTAATTACGCTTTGTAGATATGATTGTAAATGAGCATTCAGTTTTAAAAAAGTATCCTTAGATTTTATAATAATTCTTCAAATAAGAATATTGAATTCGAATTTGTATGATATTCATTATTATATTTAAAAACACTGTACATCGTGTTAAATACCGGGGTACGCTAAAGGGTATTCAAAGTTATTTTCTTACATTTCAGCGGGTTGCATCTAATTAATTTAGTCTAAAAGATTGAAATTATAAGAAATACGTTAATAAATATGATTTTATGAAAAATTTGAAAAGGTTTTAAACTAATAATCGTCAGAACCACGTTGTTTGAACTAGTACAAGTGTGCGCATGTGTCTATTGTCCGCTGGTGGGAAATTTAATTATGCATCCTAATTCTTCAATAATGCTGAAATTATCATTGATACCTTTATCTAACGTTCATTTCGAGTATTTTCTTGAAGAAATAACTTGAAAAAGGCTACTTAACTCAATTGTAAACTTACACGGATATTACGTATCCGTCTCTGATCCGTGATTTACCATTATCAAGTCAACATCCGGCATTAGGAAAATGTGATTTTAAAAACGAAAGTAAAGCTTTTGACAGCGTTATTTTGCACAAATAAAGAGTCTAAAGCGTAATTAAGCAGACTTATTACGCTGATGTTGCACACTTCGAATGCTGCACTTTCAATATAATACTTTACGTCAGAACATTGAATTTATATCAAAGTAAAGTTTAATATCGTTTTAATGTCAATCATTGGTTATATCATATATGATGGCCAACTGATTATCATAGTTGCCTAATTTACTAAGTCTAAAGGGATAAAAAATCGGGATAAGATATGAAATGTCCGGCTGGCTCAAAAAAATTTTGGAAGCCCTGATCTTGACCTAATGAACAATTTTATCCTGTCAGATTTGCTCTAAATGCTTTGGTTTCAGAGATATGAGCCAAAAACTGCATTTTACCCTATGAACTATTTTTTAGCCATGTCGGCCATCTTGGTTCGGGGGCGGGGTCATCGGACACATTTTTTAAACTAGATACCCTAATGATGATTGTGGACAGGTTTGGTTAAATTTGTCTTAGTAGTTTCAGAGGAGAAGATTTTTGTAAAAGATTACAAAAATTTACGAAAAATTGTTAAAAATTGACTATAAAGGGCAATAACTCCTTAAGGGGTCAACTGACCATTTTGGTCAAGTTGACTTATTTGTAGATCTTACTTTGCTGAACATTATTGCTGTTTACAGTTTATCTCTATCTATAATAATATTCAAGATAATAACCAAAAACGGCAAAATTGCCTTAAAATTACCAATTCAGGGGCAGCAACCCAACAACAGGTTGCCAGATTTGTCTGAAAATTTCAGGGCAGATAGATCTTGACCTGATAATCAGTTTTACCCTATGTCAGATTTACTCTAAATGCTTTGGTTTCAGAGATATAAGCCAAAATCTACATTTTACCCCTATGTTCTATTTTTAGCCATGGCGCCCATCTTGGTTGGTTGGCCGGGTCATCGGATTTGACACAGTTGTTTGAGCTGTCTGCAACAAAACTATATCTCCGGTTGACAACAAACTATTTTCTGGTACTTTCTCTTCACCCGAAGTCACTTCATATATTTCATCAGCGAATTGTGAAACCTCTTTTAGTTGAGAGGAAATTTTCTTTGGACATAGACATCGATAATGACATTTTTTCTGTTACACTAATAAAAACATGCATTTTCTAACCTAGTCTCTGTTTACGTGTGCAATTTCAAGCAGATATCACAACTACCCTTGATTTTCTGTTTTCTATCTTCAATTGTCCTGAACTTTCTACACTCATCACTCCAATGGTTTCCATCCCAATATCTGCATATCAATGAGTTTCCACTACCCAAGTTTCTTCCAAAACGATTAATTGTCATCATGGCTTCTGCAGATAAGTGTTTTCTCGGTTGAAAATTATAAATTTTCCCATTTAATTGAAATTTAGACTGCTGTCTTTCTGCAGAACTGGGACACGTATGTGTTTCTTTAGATTGACTTTCTGCAGCTTCTCTAGCAATTATGTAAGTATTGAAAAACTGCCATAACTTCCCAGCTGTGCATCTTTCCCTGTTACCTTTCTGTATTTCAAGTTGAATAATGACTTCCTTTGGTAACTTAGAGGTTATCATAGAAATAAATACATTTTGGTTCACATCTTGAAGCAGTTCCTCCAAACTACATATATGTCGTTCCAAGTCATCATATAGTCTATGAAGATTGGTTGTATGATTTGAAGCTGACTGAAGGTTTATTAAATCTGAATAGTGCTTGTTGAAAACAGATTGAATATTTCCAAGTCTTTCGTTAAGTATTGAAATTACTACATCACATTTTTCAAGTTAGAGCGTTCAGCCAGATATAGCAGCATTACAGATACAGATAAGAAAAGCATTACCTGTTCAAAAAAGTTTGCTTTTTAAGTAATTTAATTTCTCTACTTTTGACAATTTTTGATTTGTGTGTACTGCTGCTTTAAATGAATCCCAAGATTCTGTCCATTTTAGCTTGTCTCCATTGTACGAGACCAGGTCTAATTTAGGAAGTTTAACTGCACTTACTGTTGAAGGTTGACTTTTTCTCTGTAATTCTTGTAGATGTAACTGTTGAAACTGTAGTATCTGCTCTTGCATTTGTGTCTGAGACTGTATCAAATGCTCCACTTTGTGGTCTGTTGTCAATTCTTTTTCTTCAATTCCATAATTTTATCCTGGATTGCTTACTGGAATATTTTCAATTCGTCTAAGTGCCCTGTTTTTTGCAATTTCACCCTCACTATCTTCTGTTTCCTCTAATATAAGAGAAAGATCTTTTATAGTTTCTTCCAATTTTTGCTGCAAAATCCTTTAATCATCTTTCCGCTGAAAAAAAAACTTAGTTGTGTTGTCACACTCTCATCTTCAATCCCTTGAGCGATCATATCTCTCTTCAATCCTTGAGCAATTATATCTCAACTTGTCTTTCTCTAAAATTATTGTACTTTTACAGAGTCCTTTCAAATATGATGCTGCCACCTTTCTGTGGTTCCTTCTTTTTCATGTTCTCCATAAATTATTTTTCCTGTAGTTCTCTGGGTTCTGGTACCACACAATGTGGCGAAATCAGATAACACGGAATCCTTTTCTAACTTTAATAAAATAACTAAAGGTTATTTACAGTATGTCAAATTCAATAAATACCACATTGGAATAAACTGCTAAAAAATCCTTCTTATCCTTTCTTATTCAAGAGGGGCGAAATGCTTCTATACTATATAGCTACTAATGCTATTTCTACAATGATATTTATTCACAAAACAAACTAAGCCTATATACCAAAATCAAAAAAACATTCTAGATCTAGGATCATCAATAAATAACTAGAGAAATGAAAAACAATCTATTCTTAGTAACAAAGTAAATTCCGGAATTTGCTAACACTTTCTGAAACATTAATATACACAGATACTTTCATTATATATCTAGAAACCACACTAAATATGAAATCATTCCCTTCATAAAGCCAAGAAAAGCTTGACGAAAGTTTCTACCCAAGGTCCTTTGGACAGACAAACGAACGGATAGACAAAGTAGAGCAGTTATTTAGACCTGCTTTTGCAGATCAAGGACATAGTGATTAATCGGCTATGTTACCTGAAATGAAAGCACAGATGTACCTACAGAGTACTATCAGCCTAAATATCTTTTTCATGGATACAATAAATCAAAATGTTTCTCTAGCAAAACAACACACATTTATATATATATATATATATTTACTGTTTGGAAATCTGTCAAATCTGGATCTGTTATTGGCTCACAGACAAATCTATGCATTGGTGTACCAAGTATGAATACTACTGTTGTCAACAGCATCAGGAAAGAGGAAAACATAAAAACAAATCCAACAGCTCTACAATCAACAAAAGTGAATGATGTTAATACCTTTCAAATAATTTATGCCCTCAAATTACTGTAATGCATTAGATATATGTTTTAATCACATCCAAAGCGTTATTTAACCAAACAGGGTCAGTTTTCTTAATAGTTAGGATTCTATTGGGAATGGAAATTTCAGCTGCATCTAGGATACAGTTTGAAATTTCTTATTTAATTTTATCAACATCATTTATAGCATATATACTATCCCAGTTGGTTTTTGTCAATATGCGCCTATATTCATCAAAATTACCTTGCTTATAAAACCAAATTTTCTTTTAAAGACATACAAGCAGGCTTTTGTGCATTTATAAATTCATTTTATATTTACATTGTATCATAGATCAAATTTATTTGTTCAGTGTATGTTCACTGGTGTTAATATGTCTTTTGATTGAGTTAAGCCATTTCAATTGATATTTCATAGTGTGTCTTTCTATGTTGTGATGTTACACTATTGTTACAGATAAGGGTGAAGGTTTGGTACCATTAAAACGTTTAAACCGGCTGCAATTGTTTGCACCTGTCCTAAGTCAGGAATCTGATGTTCAGTAGTTGTCGTGGTTCATAAGTGTTTCTCGTTTTTTTATATAGATTAGACCGTTGGTTTTCCCGTTTGAATGGTTTTACACTAGTCATTCTTGGGGCCCTTTATAGCTTGCTGTTCGGTGTGAGCCAAGGCTCTGTGTTGAAGATCATACTTTGACCTATAATGGTTTACTTTTATAAATTTTGACTTGGATGGAGAGTTGTCTCATTGGCACTCATACCACATCTTCTTATATCTATTTTGTGCATTTATAAACCCCATTACTGGACAGTGATATCTTATCTGATCTAAGAGTAGTGGCCCGACTCCACAATACGGTACAAAATCGGAGTTATCAGTTATTATTATTAAATCAATCAGTGATGATGACTGTTCAGTAAAATGAATGGGATCTTCAATAAGTTGCTCTAAACTGTATTTGTACAAATATTATGGATTTGGATTAAGCCACATTTAGCAAGTTATTATAAAAATCTCCTGTTACAATAATTCGGTCACAATTAACATCATTTACGGCAGACTCAATTGAACTTTCAATTTTTGTCTACAATATCTCATTGTTACCTTTTGGCGGCACGTAGAAAGTTCCATACAATACCTTTTTGTGAGTGAATATTTTCTTTTACATATACTATCACCCCTCCCCCACTTTTTATGGGACCCCTATCTTTCCTGAATGGTTTCTGGTAGTTTAAAAGTTCAAATGAGTTTGACGAATTATTACCGTTCAAACAAGTTTCAGTAAATGACAATATATCAAAATCTTCGTACTCAGCAGCAATCAGATCAAGTTTTGGAAGTAAGCTTTGCACATTAAAATGTAAAAAGGAAATTGAAGTTGAAAACATTTCACGTAAACTGTTCCTCTCTGAAACACTTTCGAAGCTAATATTATGATCGTCATTATCATAGGATAATTGATGAGGACCAGGCTTAATTTCTATTCTCCCCAGAAGAATTTAGTAAAGGTTTTAAGTAATTTGTGGTAAAGAAATCCCTGACTTAATAATTTACCAGTAATACATAGATTACGCTCATTGAAATCCAAAACGTCGAACGAGTTGGGATATTAAACACCGTAAGATGGTACCAGAGGAATATCTCCGTCCAAAACAGGAAAATTAACAATAGGGAAAGAAAAATCATCCCTTTTGTCGTAAATTTATGTGAAGTTTCTGGTGTAAAACTGAAATGTCTAAATCTAGAAAAGGACACTTATTGCTGTAATTATTTGATTTATTTTATATCTATTTAGCCAATCAAGAGCGATCAAGGGTGCAAGTTCCATACCAGGAAAGCCGCCTCCCAAAACATCAAACACACACATTAGCCAATCAATCTAAATTCTGTTTACTAGTGTAGCATGGCAATGTGGCGAGACATTTTTATTTCTTTTTAATAACATATCAAATGAAGATAAAACAACAGGTAAGATTTTAGGAAACTGAGTTTGTAAGCTTAGTCAGATGATGAAAAAGTAGAGCAACAAAATGCAGAAGGTGAGAATAAATCATACATGGTAAAATCAGTTGACTCAGGAAAAACCTTGACCTAAATGTTCCTGGGGGTGATCCCGGCAGGAATTAACCTAATTGCTCCGGGGGAGATCCCAGCAGAGTAAAAATACTACCTTAAAATACATATTTGTTCCTGGGGTGAACTCAGCAGGAATTAACCTATCTGATGTATTATTGGATGACTAACAATATAATACATTATTGGCTTTCTTGGGGCTACTCATTCACTTAAAAGAATTTGACTTTATAAATTTTTTAAAACTTATCAAAATATGAGAAAAATAAATATTTAAAACTAATCAAAATATGAGAAAAATAAAAATTCCTTAAACGATTAGTAAAAAATTCTGCGATTTCTTGTACAAAAAGTTATATTAAAAATACTACATTAAAGTAGTTAATTGCTCCTGGGGTGATCCCGGCAGGAAATACCCTTGACCTAAATGTTCCTTGGGGTGATCCCGGCAGGAAATACCCTTGACCTAAATGTTCCTGGGGGTGATCCCGGCAGGAATTAACCTAATTGCTCCAGGGGAGATCCCAGCAGAGTAAAAATACTACCTTTAAATACATATTTGTTCCTGGGGTGAACTCGGCAGGAATTAACCTATCTGATGTATTATTGAATTGGGGGAGTATGATTCCCCTCGAATTAAAAAGGCCAAATGAAATGAGTTCATAAAATGAATGAGTGAAACCCCCCAAGAAATAATAATGCTAACAAATACAAAAGTAAAATAAACTATATTAGTTACATCCACAATACAATAAATTTCAAAAATAACACATTTTTTGCTGTGCTTTAGAAATAACCCTCTTATCAGTTCTTATATATCTGATATAACAGTCCGATGACCATCTACCGAGTGTCTGTATGATATGATCTTCAACTCCAGCCGCTGCAGCTGAAGTAGCGGCACCAATTCTGAACGAGTGACCACAGAACTTACTTTTGCTATAACCCAGACGGATCAAAAGCTGTCTTAAGTAGTTAATGAAAGTTTCCCTAGATAATGGCTTACTTAAATCAAATTCACTTTCAACAAATAAAGGAAAGTTTGCTAATGCTCCTATCTGTAAGCGATACTTCAAGTACTTGTTCATAATATGCACTGGTCCAAAAATATCATTTTCATTTATGGTTATATCTACTCCTACTCGAAAAGGATCAGTCTTAGATGTTCTTAGTTTTAACACAAATTGATCATGTAGTAGGCTGATCTCAACATCATCAATTATTACGCAGTTCAGATAATCATCCTTAGTTTTGCAAGTGAACTCTCCACATCGAAGAAAACCAAAGAATGCTGTCAAAAAGGCACACTGCAGCATAAGATCAATGAAAGGTGAGAAAACACCTGTTGATAACAAATTGCATAATCGTTTTAACACATCTGAAGTAATAGGCAATCTGTTCCTAGAAACACTGTGTTGAGATTTCTTAATAACCTGCATGATATACGGAAGTCATTCTGTTCCTGTGGTAGGGTCATTATGACCTGCACGCAAGTAATGGTATCGTATACCCGCTATGTACATTTTAATAGTATCATGTTGCAGCTTTTTACTATTCTTACAATGAGTTGCGAAGTAGATTAAATGGTCCTCTGTTATTATAGGTAACAATTAACGGAGCACTGTATCCCGCTCATATTCATGAATGTTATAAAACTCTGTGCAGCTGATCTATAGTTTTGTTTTGTTCTCCGACTTAAAGATAAGTCCCATAAATTACAGGCTTGTTGTTCTAAAACATCATTATGTGGGAAGGCAAGAGGCAAGGCACTGGCTTTTCTTCTGCTTCTGGTGCTAGTATTCTGAATTTCTGCATCTGGTAACGAGAAAGAGAGTCTGCAATATTATTGTTAATACCAGGAATATGTTGAGCATGAATAATAAAATGGTGTGTAGCAGCATGAAAAGTCAACTTTCTCATAAGCTTCATGATACTCTTAACTTTAGACCTGCCTTTGGAAATAATGTCAACTGTAGTCATATTGTCGCAATGGAACAAAATACGCTTTCTGTTCCAGTTATGACCCCACAATACACAAGCCATGACTATGGGGTAAAGTTCAAAAAACGCCATAGATGTTTGCTCATCCATAACTTCTATAGGAAAATCGCCTTGAAACCACTGATTTTTGTAAAAACCTGCAAATGAAGTTAGTGTAGCATCAGTATATAGTTCCATATCAGCAGCTTCCGTTATATTGTCGTTAATGAAAAAAGATACACCATTCCATTTTCTCAAAAATAACAACCACATATCCAAATCTAATCTACAGTCAAGATTTAATTGTATTCGGTGGTGAAGTTTCTTTACCTTGGTTGATAAAGCTATAAGATGTGACACAAAGGACCTTCCATGCAAAATAACTCTTGAAGCAAAATTCATGTGCCCTAAAAGACTTAGGATTTCTTTTTTCATACAATGTTTGCGGTTGCGAAATGTCTCAACAAATTCACAAATCCTGTTAACTTTTTCTAAAGGCATTCGGGCTTCCATCAGTTCCAAATCTAAAAATATACCTAGGTATTCAATAACTTTACAAGGCCCCACTGTCTTCTTAGCTGATAGAGGAATTCCTAATGAATTAAATATAGCCAACAAAGTTTCTTTGGTTTGAAATGCATCAGTGCTCTGTGGCTGTTATACTCATAAAATCCCCTGCCACCATACCTGGTGGCCATATCCACTATATCTCTTTCATAAAGGTCAAGTTCAATCTGCCTCAGGGGATATGCTAAACACATTATGTTTTTGTAAATGCTAAATGCCTGAACAAATTCCCCTATTGTCAAGGATCTATTCAATCTGGGATCCGGTTTATTGGGATACGGAAACTGTTCAATGTTATCACTGCACAGGCCAGCGTAATAAGGTATTAATAGGGATGCAAGATT